CACTTTTCTTCACTTCCTTGTCCAGTGTGGTGTTTTATAGGTTGTGTTCAGTTCCTCTTATCGTTGTTCATCCCTGCACTGCACTGATTTACCTTCTGCTTCACCATCTTCCTCTCCTCTATTAACTTCCATGTGTCCTTCGATATCCATTCGTTGTTTTCTTTCTTCTTCCTTTTGAATTCGGAGATGCGGGTTTCTTTCCACATCTCTTCTAGTGTTCTTCCGCAGAGGTTTCTTCAGGAATGTTGCTGAATATCTCGCATTTTGTCGTGATGGCTAACGTGAAGGTGTCCTTTGTAGTTTCGTCCTTCAGTTTCTGGTCGTTGAACTTGAACTGTGGCCTATCACCAACTTCTGTGAAGGCTTTCAACTTGATTTCGAACTTTCCTTGCACTGGACAGTGAGCGGTGTATACCTAAATCTGCTCCCATTTTTGATCTGATCTTGTATCCAGTAGGCTGGCTGCGTCTCCACTTTCTTGAGAATGAGATGAAGTCGATCTAATTTTTAGTGTGTCCTGATGTCTAGTGAGATCCATGTCGCTTTGTAAATATCCTTGTGTTTGTACACACTGTCTCCAATCACCAAATCATTAAAGGTACAAAAGTAAGCAAACAGTTCTCCGTTCTCATTCATTTCATCCAGTGCTTCTCGAACCATGATTGGTTCTCTTCCTGTGTTGTCCGCTGCCAGTTTAGCACTCATGTCACTCCACCCATTAGAATTTTGATGTCGCTAACTGGAGTGATGTGTTGTCCAGTACTGATTGTAGTTGTCTCTAGAATTCCTCCTCCTTCCCTTGATCTGCATTATTTGTAGGCGCGTAGCATTGTATGATTGTGACTTTCCTTCGTTTTAAGTCGAATCTTGCTGTCATTATCCTGCAGGAGGAAATTGTTTTCCATTTCATGAGAGCCTTCGATGCTCTTGTGGACATCATGATAGCCACTCCATCAGTGTGCTCGTGGTTGTCGTCTGTATGAGAATATCGGAATAGATTATTGACTCTCCAGTTGGTAGTTTCGAGAGTCCACTTTCATTCCATCTGGATATTACTCGCAGATTCCTAGCACTTCTATGCTTTACCTTCTCACCTCTTTCGCAGTCTGGGTAGCCTTGCTAGGTTCAAACATTGTTCGGACATTCCATGTCCCCGTTTTTTCACTTTCATTGAAGGAGAGAAGACACATCGGCTGACTGTCATCCTGAAGGCTTTCACCAACCGGCGTCATTTCGTCTCTCCGATTCCATCGGGGAATCAGTTTTTTTAAAAGTATTTTCTTTAAGCTTTGAAGTTTCTGTGGCGGTTAGATTGGTTTTACGGGGTGGGGTCTCTAGCCCCTATGCCCAACCTTCCCTCTTTATCCGGGTTTGGAACCGGCTAGTAACTAGTGAACTAGTTAACTGGGCGAGGTTACCTTGCCTAATAAGTTTTGGAGAATGAAGCAACCCCAGCTAAGCGTTGGACAGTTCGATCTGTCTCATAGTTTAGTAGATGAACATGTGTAAATGTGGTCACTGAGGGTTAGTTTTCCTTTTCTATTCGTAAAAGGTTATTATTTGAAGAAATTTCGAAACTTGACAAATTGATACCTTATCTAACCGTTTAAAATACATATCAGTGATAAATTAACATTACTTCTTCTTTAATGATATACTTTATAGGATTGATGAATGAATCACTGATTGTCTCTCGGTTAGGCTTGTTTAACTAGAAAAGGTCAAGACAATTATTTAACTGATAATTATTGTGATAACATTTTAACATAATTCTATATAGCTTATATTTTCTTCTGAAAGTTTCTTCGTCTTGTTTTTTTTTGTTACATTTGAAGGCTAAATTCCAGTGAATCACGTGTAATCTAGGCCTGATTTCTTTTTTCCTTTGTTCAATAATTTTAGTTGATTTCTTTGTTCAAATTTATCAAGTAATATTTTTAGCCTGTTTTTTGAATTGCCTATTAATGGATGAATTTAACTTTCTCAGTCTTAGGTTGTTATAAAAGATTATGGAATACTCTATAGTCATTAACTTTTCAGGTGTGAAGTGAATAACTAACACCATTCCTACCGTGCTGTTGCGTTTATATATATATATATATATATATATATATATATATATATATATATATATATATATATATATAGGCTGCATCAGCAGGACAAGGTGTGTTTATGAACGTTTATCATCATAATTATGCAAATAGAGAAGACAAGTTAGTCAGTAGCTCTATTCTCGAGCATATTATTCTTCGTATTGATTCATCATGTGAGAGGAACCAATTTCATGTTGTCTAGTCCTAAGTGCACACTGAATCCTATCGATCATATTTGCAATGTAGCCACCAAGCTAAGAGGTTCAGTATCGCAGTGCAATCAGCAGAAAGTCGTGGATCTAAGTTTTGGGCTTGTTAGCACTCGTCAACAAGACGTATTTGTAACCTCGATGGAACTGATATCTCACCTGATATTCGAACCTGTGTCACTTAGTGTTGTGGTCAGCGACTTTACTACTGAGATATTCGGGCCGCGATTGACCTCCTGTAAGACTCACATGTGTTGATTGATCACAGGAATACAACCAATTTCATGTCCAGTCCTGAGTGCAGATCCAATCCTATCGATCATATTTGCAATGTGGTGACCAAGTTGACGAGTGCCAACAATCACGAAACCTAGGTCTAGGGCTTCTTACCGATTGCCTCCAACCAACTAACATACTTTTTTTTCCAGATTATGCAACAATAATAGACGGTTCATTCATCCCTGAATACCAAAGGTGGTGAGATAAAACAGCCCAAAAGAATTTCGTTTCAATAATTTCAACGCTATGGAACAACCCCGTACTATCACTTGTCAATTAAACTCTGAACTTTATTTGCTAAAATGTTTTTATCACCACAGTTTTACTTTTCAAAACTTTCCAACTTATTGCGTATTACTTAATATTTATACTGCATGATGATTGAAGGTGAAATGAAAATCTAGACAGTTATCGAATTCGAACCATTGACCACTGGGTTTTTGACCCGATACTCTACCAACTGAGCTATGAGATCCGATTGCTGATCAGATTTTTATTTAACTCGAATCATCATAGGTTGGTAGAACATGAGTCCGGAAACCTGATGGTCACTAGTTCGAATCTGACCACGGTCCAAATTTTCATTTCAACTTCAATCATCACCCAGTATCAATACAAGTTTGCCAAACCATGGTTATCTCAGATAGCCAAAATGATAATCAATATTGGTTAATGTCTAATCTTTAGTTTCTTTGTTAAACTTGCATTTGAAAAGAACGTTGTGTCTGTTTTTGTCTTGCTTACAGTGTTTCTGCTTCAAAATCTTTTCTTATTCTACCCTACCCAGTGCTTGTGTTTCTGCTTTAGTCTATGACTCAGATGTTGTGTATAAGGGCTTACGTTACTACCTGGTTTAAGAATAGACTAAACCAAACCAGGGTTGGATATGAACTGAAGCCTTATTCATTATGGTAATTTGCTTGGTTGTAGCTAACAGGAATCCAGGGCACATGTTTCGTCAGCTGGATGGCCACGGGGGCACGACAGCCACCTCTTGTACAACGGGTATTAGTAATTACTATTTATTGATATACTTGTAATTCTCCCTTTTATTGAATCGACTTGTTCGACCTCTATTGGCATATAGGCTCCTACGTGGTTGCCTTGATATTGCCTGAATGTCAATTATGGTAATTTGGTTGGTTGTGGCTAGTAGATGAATCCAGGGCGCGCTTTTCGTCTTATTTGGAACTCGTCAGCTGGACGTACCTGCACCTCAATGTTGTTCCTATTGAGACACGAACCTCGTACCCATCGCTTCAAACGCTACAGCGTTATCTTGTTCACTGGTTGAAAGTTGACTGCGTACACTGATGAGCCATAGTTCAATCTCATAACCTTTCTAAAGGATTATATAGTTCTGTTTGCTAATCACTATGTTCTACTATTTAAGCACTTACAAATAACACATGAAATTCTATTAGTCCATTAGATTTCGTTTCTTTATCTTCCAAAGATAAAATTATAACCCAATAAACTCTTTCTGTCTTGATTAAAGAATGTACTTTGTCTGTTTAACGAGCGTTTCTTTCACTGGATTTCTAAAAACAAAAAAATACTTTAGAATGTTGCTTAAACTTCAGACAATGATCTATGTCGATATTTTGTTATAATTTGATACTTCTTATCTGAAGTTGTTATATTGAAAGGTAACGAGAAGACCAAGATGAAGGAAGGAATGTTTATTGTTAACAAGTGGTACAATAGTCGTTAAATATGGTACACTTTGCACTAAGACGGTCATTTGCAAAATGTTCTTAATTTCCTCTTCCACTGCTCTCTTGATTTATTCTTCATACGCCTTCATTGTCTCTTACGTTTCTCTTAACAGAATCCTTACCAGTTGCTGGTAATTGCCCATGATTTCTGCCACCCTCTCACCATATACTACTTATATCCATCCTTATCAGCAACGCCCACTACAATATGACTTAAATATATGTATATGTATTTTATAACGAATCAATGTATATAAGAATATCAAAATATGATGTTACTTCAGTTGTTATATAACATTTTATCAAATAATCTATGATGCTTACATTCTTAAGGCATAATTCTAAGATATTGAAACTTGAACAGTTCACCTACTATTCGTTTGATTGTTCAATTTTCAATTGTAATTTTTGCAAACCTTCCTTTTATGTTACTTATCAAGGAAAGTTAACTAAAAATCACTGAGTGCGATACTGATCCAATCTAAGTGATTTTTAATAACCTTGAAATTTTATAACGTTTAAATTACCATTATCTGATTCTCTGTGATATTGTCAAGTCGTCTATAGTTGATTAGTTACATTTATCTGCGGTATATAATATATTCTTCTTCATTTTTGAAGGTGAAATCTTTATGTATGAATTGTATCATTCTATACCATTGTTACTTTATTTGCCTGTATTTATTGCATCATTTTAGAAAAGCTCTTTAGTTGGTTCCTCATCACCTTTTGATCCGAAAAAGGCTAAAGTTACTGTTCAACGTCCTGGTGATCAAAAAGCTTATCAATGTGGTCCACATGCTAGAAAAACAAAGAAAACAGATTCGGTAAGTATGTCTTGTTATACACCCTTTTAGGGGATAGATTTTTAAAATTTTTTATTCACATCTTTATTGTCAATGTATAATCATTTCTGTGTAGGTTTCTGAAATGGAGAGCTTTCTAAAAAGGAAACTGGTTACTGATCATTAAACTGTGTTTAGTCTTTACTTCATAAACTTGGTGAAAATCGACTACATGACTCCTAATATCCAGATGTGAACCTTAGTTGATGGTCACGTCAGTTTCTTTCCTCTGGCTATAGCTTGTTTATTTAATCCATTCGTATAAACAAAGAAATAGACATGTCAGCGCGGAACGTTATACAGAAGTATATAAAAGGAGAGAGAAGAAACAAATGAAGATTCGTATAAATGCCTAAAATGTTGATGTTAAATTATTTTTTTTGAACCATATAGCTGAAGTTCTTCAACTATCCACTTGTAACATCTTGAGGGCCCGAATGAGACAGCTTACACCTTACATGGTTCAAATCATACAGTCTTCGGCTATTAGTGTGAATGATCTAAGAACCTGTGAACTGCTTGTTTAGCATCCTCAGTATACTAGCAATAGACACTGAAGACTCTCAGGGCTTTGACTCAAAACTGGTCTTATTGACTGCAAATATATACACCTATAACCGTTATCTATGCTTTGAATAGCTTTGTGATGAGGAGTCCTTAAAGCCAACACTAAATGATGTTGGCTGAAATGAATGAGAGAATATGAATTTCCTTAAGTTCTTAGATCTGTCTTGCTGATCAGTGTCGACTAGTATGAAATTTATGTTGAAAAAAGTTCTCCTACCGAATGACTTCTAACGTCTCAAAACAGGCATACATCTCCTAATGTCTGCTAAAATTTCCATTGTTCATTACTTTCAAGCTATAATTCCTTGTTGTAAATGTTCAAACTTCGACTAGTGTGTTATGATAACACCTATTAGTTAGCAGTACCACTATCTCTTATACAGTAGGTATGACTCATTCTCTAGTACACGAAATAGTGAATAATATAGTTTTAAAGCCTAAACTCTTTATTATATTCAACATGTCTAGTAGTCATTTAGTTAAAAGTAATGGAACTTAACCGACTTACTAAAAGCTTTATTAAAAACAGTTGTTTACCAACCATCAGCATTCCAATATTATATATATATATATATATATATATATATATATATATATATATATATATATATATATATATAATAGAAATTTGAAGACAACAGAACTTTTCAGAAATATTTTTGATAGTTTGTAAATCTCTAACGTCGATTGGAACAACACATCACTCACTAGGAGGGGTAGGTAAAGGCAAATCTAGCTGACGAGTCTCAAACAGAACGAAACACCTATCCTCGATTCTATCACTTGCTACTAATACCTTCGTCGATATCAAAGTATTTTTGGTAATTATAGTTGTGGATACCTTTTGATTTTGAATAGTCTTCTTATACATGCTTTTCAGAAGTCCACATACTAAACTTCTATCGTATATCAAGGAGTCAGTTACACGACGAACAAGTAAATTTTATTAGGTGAAATTATCAAGTCTATTTCAACCAAAATTCAGATAAAAATCTTGTTTAATTTTTTGAAAAAGAAAAACTGGAAATTATAATGCTTCCATTTGTTTGCACTATTTTTTTCAGACAAATTCCATCATCCTCCATTTTTATATTCATTTGTGCTTATATATATATATATATATATATATATATATATATATATATATATATATATATGTCTCCAAACTGTGCAGCAATGAAACATCATCTCTAAAAGGTTTCTTTCAGATACAACACAAATCCTATTTGTAAATGTTTTATGCCCATAGTTGTTGTGCATGTGAACACTGGAGAGAAAAGAAGTAAACTGAAGCATAATTCTTTTTCAGACATTTCTTAAGATTGTATTTCGAGGAGGTTGTAGGGATTTAGAAATATTTTCAAGTTAGTATTCATCGTAGACTGACATCAGTCGGAGGAAACCTGAGAGCACTGGACAGCTGTTTCGTCTTAGTACCTACTTGAAAACATTCCTAAATCCCTACAACCCCTTCGAAATACAATTGAACTGGTGCTCATTGGTAACTAGCTTCGCGAGGTGATTCCCGAAGTTCCAATAAGAAGTCATGACCGGTGGGGTTAGCCTGATGGTCGCGGGGACAGTTATTCAACGACGACAGTGGGTGGTAGTTGAGGTATGTCGTGAACTGACAGAAGTTGGAAATATGGACCATTGGATCCCGACCGAGTGGCTCATCGGTAACGTGCTGGCCATGGAACCTGGAGGTCGTGGGTTCAATCCCTGGCAGAGTCCTGGGTGTGCACTGGTGAGGATGAAACAGCTGTCCAGTGCACCCAGGTTTCCATTGTTCCTCCAGCTGATGTCAGTCTACGATGGATACTAACTTGAAAATATTTCTTAAGATGGATATTTAAAAAACAAATATTTTGTATGATAACTGGAGTGTTGAAGTAAACACACACACACACAACTGTAGATAAATGCTTTGATTGGTTACGGCTGAACTCATAAAAGACTGTTGTCGGACATATGTCTGAAAGTAATTTTCTTCATTCAATGGAATCTCTTCCAGAGAATCAGTAAAAGGCCACAAATTATTGAACAATTCATTCTCTTTATTTTTAAGGCGTTTCTATGAGTTTATAATCAGAGTTACATGTAAGGTAAAACATAGAATGTCCAAACTGTATGCAAAACACATCAATACATTTTATAGCAACAGTCAATATTTATTAAGCTGCTTATAACTACAAACATTTTGATGTATCATTAAAACTTCAGAATATCTATCCGAAAATTGTTGACTAAGAGAAAACTGAACTATCCTTCAATTGCATAGTCCAGGGTAGGATGATTTCTAATGGTATCTCAGTCATCTAAATATACCATTCATTAACGATAGCTTTCAGAAAGCTTTTTTGTATTGTTCAAAAGATATCACACCTTATTTATGTATATTTTTATTGGTAACTTTGGTGTTTCTAACATCCTATTCATTTAATCGCCTCCTTTAGAGGATAATGGTTTTATTCCAATGAATTCTTCTTATAAAAAATTGTTTTACAATGCTCAGTGATTTGTTGTAAAACTTAAGGTCCATTGATCTGAACAGTTTGGTGTTAATCAGTGGCTCACAAATTTTAAACCCTACTCTGTTAATCGACGTTTTAGCAGCCGGAAACCCTTAAACAACAAGTGAATAGAGTTTTAGCTCATTGGTTTAGACAATTGACTATCAACCAAGTGAGTCATGGGTTCGAATACCGCTCTTACCTACCTAGGTTTTGGAGACCTGGTAGTATCACCAGCTTTCACATAACAGGTATACTTCATTGCCTACTGCAAAAATGTGCACAAAATTGTTGAGTGGATTTCGATTCAATTTGAAATAACAGGTGTAACTCATTTCTGAAGATATGAAGATGAATGTAACTGCTAAGATAGTTTAGTTTTTTAATAACTCACCAGTAAGCTATCCACCTGTTCATCAGTTAACTACAGAAGATGGTTTCTGATATAATGTGGTGTGCTGGTGAAAGTTTGATCAATAACCTTTAGACGGCCAGTGGATACCTTGATGTGTCTTGTCTTGAAGATTGACTCAGTGTGGTTGTTCAGTGACTGTTCTACAGTCTAACCGAATGAATATCTAGATACCGAACAGGTAGCCTACTGACTTTATGTTTATTTTTCATCAATACTGAGATTCGAAACTCGGGACTTGAGCAAAAACAATGGTAAACTAGAACAGTCACTTATGTACGAAGACGTAACTCATAAAGTGGTTGTCATACGACCTTTCATTAACTAGTTATCAAAGTTTTTATGGGATGGTAAGTGGGTAATGAATGAATTTCTACAAATACACGTGAAAGTGCAGTTTTTCATGCTGTAACACTATGCCTAGAAGACGTGGGAATTCGACCAGCACTCAGGGTTAGACAACATAAAATTGGTTACTCTTCAGTGGCCAATCAATGTATCTCCTCCAGTCCTACACAAGATCAATAGTGATGAAAATATCTCAGTGGTAACGTCACTAACTGGAAAACTGAGTGAAGCGAGTTTTAAATCTCAGAGGGGATATCAGTTCCGTGAAGATTACCGATACACCTTGCTGATGAGTCCCAACAAGTACGAATCATAGATCGACTAAAGCTGCCTCCTGATTGCTTTCAACCAACTAAAATCCATCAAATTGCATCGCATTTGTGATCGCCCTAATTTAGTTAGTACATTGCAAAATTATTAATAGAACTCGGTCAGCAGTGAGGACTAGACAACATAAAATTGGTTGCTTTAAAATGACCATTGAATGTAACATTGAAACTCCTTACACTACTGTTTGAGGCTTGATTTTCATATTTACAGTGAATGTACATTTTGTCTTCAATAATGCATATTACAGATCGGTGAGTAGAATTGTTATGATTTTGCTGTTAAACCCAATTTCAACCTATCTTTCCCCAGTCAAACTGGGAAGTGGACTTCTCAAGGATGTTGTTAGCAAGCTTAATATATGTATAACGGGAACATTGATACATTCGGTACCCTAATCAAATTATCAAAATGTTGGTAAAATTCCATCTGTTATCGGAAAACTGACAATAAACTTCACTTCTTTGACGTTATCTCAAGGAGATTCTCCCTTTGTCTAACAGAACTGTGTCAAGAGAAGCACATCTCTTTATTTTCTTACCTGAGATAGTAGAATGTCGTACAGCCAGAGTGACGAAGACATTTTCAGATGATATGCTAGTCATAGAAGGAGTTAGAATCCATTCTAAATTCACTGGTCGAAACAGGCTATCTCCGTAATGTTAGTGAGCATATGCATGGGTTGGTCAATGCAGAGCAACTAATTTCGTTATTTTCTAGTCTTGACTGATTACTATTGATTATTTTACAATGTGGGCATCAAGCTAGGAGGTTTAGCATGACAATCGACTTAGTTGGTTGGGGGCAGTCGGCAGGAAGCGGTACTTGAATTAAGTTTTGTCTCTTTTTGGTAGTCGTCAGCAAGGAGTGTATCCCCTTTGAGATTCCAATTCATCATCCAGTGCTACAGTCAGTAACGTTACGGCTGACTTATTCGGATGACGTTTGAGAATATGTATAGTAATGTTATAATCTACAAACTAGCCAAGAGTAAGGGATGGTAATTATGCAACTAACCTTTATCTATCATTTTTCGGTTAACGAATTGTTATAGCTCGAAAGAAAAGACAGGTTACAGAGTTTTATCTTTCCCATCCGCATTTATCTATTTGATCATTTCTATATGGAAAGTTATATCAAGAGTAAAATTAGGAAAGTTAGCCAACGTGTTATGATTCATATGCTAATTTTGTTTGCTCAGTAGGTAGCTTCGTCCTTAGGTATTATGCAATCATAATATTTTTTTTAAAGCTTTAACCTGATTTGACTGATCGAAGATCATTAATTGTATACATAATCCCGGCGTCTTCAATATTCTCATCATCCACCACCTATATATTAATTATTAGTATTGGCTTCTTTTTCTTATATTGTTCTCAACTATACTAATGATGGATAGTGGCTAACAAAGGAATCCAGGGTGTGTATTTCGTCCTATTTGAGACTCATCAGCTGGATGTACCTGCCGTCTCCCAGTGAGTGATGTTGTTCCCACCGAGATTTGGACTCGGGATCGATCACTTCAAACGCCAGAGCATTATCCACTACACCACCGAGCCACGATAGCCACTTCTTGTGCGACGGGTATGGTTTCAGTGTTATTGCTTGTATAACACCGTCGTTGATTGGACCGAATTGATCGGTCTCTATTGGCAGATAGGCTCCTGTGCGGATGCCTCGATATTACCTGTGTTCTAATTATAGTAATGAATCTCGATAGGAACGACATCACCCACTGGGAGACGGCAGGTACATCCATCTGACGGGTCCCAAATAGGACAAAATGCGCATCGCGGATCCTACTGCTAGCCACTACCCATCTTTATTACAATTAGAATATAGGTAATATCGAGGCATCCGCACAGGAGCCCATATGCCAATAGAGACCAATCAATTCGGTCCAATAAATGACGGTATAATACAAGCAGTTATACTGTTGTTCTTAACTGCCTAATCTGCATCCTTGTCATCATTAGCTGATAGTTCATTACAATCGGTTCATATTTACTAGATATGTGTAAAGTGAAGTACATTTTAAAGAAGTTTGAAGAGGATCTGATTGAAAACTATACTATTTGCTGAAATATCTTGTTTTAATTTTCACACTTGAAGATTTCACTATTTAAAAAATCTGTAAATAACAAATGTTGTTAATGTCTTTTATGATGAAATGTGTGTACCACTTTCAATATCAGCATCCTATCGAGGAGTTTGTTTCAATCTTTACTGTTAAAACTGTCAAAAGATTCCTGTACATTTCACTAATCTACATAATATGTAACTGTGAATGCAATTATTGCATATCATGTTATTATCTCTTCACGAGATCACTTTTTTCTACCTGCTCTTGCATTTTAACTTCCATACTTTCAACCGGTAAATCAACAGTATAGATCTGTCACGTCATAATTTTCCTGTTTTTGACAAAATATGCAGTATATTTGAGTAACTTGTATCTTGTAGTCACAATATCGCAGATAGTTAAATCATATCAACTAAATGAACAGATGAGATTCTGCATATTCATGGTGAACATCATTCTTCTATTGTCAGCATATAGATCAAGCACACACTTGCATAAAGTTTCATTTCATATACATTATAGACACTCATATATTAGATAACCATTTAGTAAATTATGTTAATTACTATTTTGAAGTCTATTAAGGATAGGTACTTATGTATTGAATATTTCTATTCAACCTTGTTCCGTTTAAGCTCAATATAAAATCGTTAACAGGAAAATTCATTTTTGTCTCAGTTCCAAAACGCTCTCAAAAGCATCTTCAATTCACGGTAGTGAAATGTGATAACAGACAGTTCATTATAAATGAATGAAAATGATATACAGCCAGAAATCTTGTGTACATTCGTGCTGTAAACAATAAGCCACAACAAATGGCCAAACCTCGGTAGGTGGAGCCGGACTTGAACCAGTGACCAAATAGCTGAACTACCTAAACCTATGAACCACAGTTCAACAGGGGAACTTATCAAGAATCTGTTCAATAAGATCCATGATCTGAGCTGAAAGGTTAATTTATATCTACTGTACAGTACTCAGTACATTATCACATCCCCTTAGTATGTTGGAAAATATGTGTGGGTTGGACTCAAAATGTATATACTTATGTAACCGTTAGACTTTGTAGAATATGTATTCTGGATCGACTTGTTGAGGGACTCACTGATGAAGTAGGGTTAAGGTAAATGGATACCAGTGATTAATACGTCTAGCTTGTTGATCCGCTTAATTTTTTAAACTGTGTATTAATAACATTAATTTTAATTTATATAAATTAAACTCTCCAGTCTTTCTAGTCTCATTGAATAATGCCGTATTTTGATCTAGCCATTATGCTTCTACTTTGAAAGACCACGTGTTGTTGATGGCTAGCAGTGGAATCGAGTACGCGCTTTTCATTCTATTTAGGATTCGTCAGGCAGATGTACCTACACTCCAGTGATTTAGGAATGATAGTGAACATTTGTAGCAGTTTAGGTGGATAATCTTAATTAAGTTGTATTCTCTGAACTAGATGATTTTGTCGTAAAAATTTCATTCTTTCTAGACAAGACTAACTTCATTGAAAGCTTCACGATTAAATCATCCAGCTTCAAGAACGTAATATAACCAAAACAGTAATAAGTCTGATTCAATTCGTCTTAACGAATTAATCATTTCTGTTTATCCCTAGTATTCATACATTTGAGTTGCTTTGCAGTTGGTAAAGAAGTTTGGTTCTTGTATCATCGTCAATTGTCTAAATAATTCCACAAAACTAATGTGTTTAAAAGTAAATATATGTAAGTAGATGTTAATTGGATCGCTAGTCATTGTCATCTCTTGCAAATTAGTTACTTTAGATTACGATTATTTAATATTAAAAAAAATTCTTGTTAAGAAGATAAGTCTGTTTGTTTACTACTTCAGTTGTAAAACACTAAATTCTATTTAATGACACTGTTGAACAACACCTTTAAAATGATAAATTGTCTTTGGATAAAACAATTTTCGTATACTACGATAGTTACTTGTCAATCTGTTTAACTCATTGTTCATTCTACTATTGTCATTTAAACCAGAAAACTTTAATTAATAGTACGATATAAGTGTGATAGAACTGTTCACCTTATCATATTATCTTTGAGTAAAAAATAGTTATCAGTCAATTTCTAAAAGAAAAGCTAATTGAGTCTCATTAAAATGTTATCATTAGTAATAACTTTATCTGTCCTAGCTATTTTCATTCTTCATACTTGACAATTTCGACTTTCTTCTCTGTTTCTTCACCTACATACACGCATACTATGAAAAAAACAATCAAATTCCAATATTGTGAATTGATGAACTTTAAATTCAAGGATGCTATTAAGGAGATCAATCGTTGTCGTGAGGAGAATACCACACGTTTAGATTTATCCAAGGGTCAATTACACTTTCTACCTTCATCAATACGAGATGTTGCACCTCATTTAAAAGAACTTTATCTATATTGTAATAAATTAGTCAGTTTACCAAGTGAGTTTTTATTCGGTAGTGATTTGTACGTTTTTATTTATTTATTTTTGATTAGTAGTCGTGTAATTGAGTTAAATATTGTCATTGTCAGATATGATGAAATGTATTAACAGTTGGTAATAAATATGATTATTTATTGATACTTGTAATTACCATTTTGTTACATTGGATGGAATTGTTCGATCTCTGTTGGCATACGGGCTCCTATGCGGATGCTTCGATACTGCCTGAATATTCATAGTTACAACTGATTTGATGATGGTTAGTAGTGAAATTCAAGACGGTCTCGATCCACGGTTTCAGTCTCAGTGAGGACAACACTTACAGGGGTATGGGCAAATCCATCTGCTGAGTCCCGAATAGGACTGTATATTGATACTCTCCCAATATTAGATTTATTTAGTCGATTTATAACACACAGTAATACAGTATTATTTACTTGATAACCTTTTGAGCATAAATCATCATTGCTCACCATCATATCGATGTAATCGTACTCCTTTCAATATCTGGTTTTTCTAGTCCTATCACCATATATTCTTTGTTCTGATTACTAGTGAAGTTTCCCATATCTCTGGTATAGGTGTCGCATCATTCCTATTACATGTGTTGGCTGTTGATTCGATGAACAAAGATTCAGTGATCAATCTCTCCACCTTATTATATTAGACTTAAGTACAGTGGCTTTGTCCCACCCTACTCTGTGTTAATGCATGCATTGCAATAGCCGAGTGGTTTTTTAGATTATTGATCTTATTGGGGTCCATCATCCTATATTTAGTTAAATTCCTATGTCCCGCTAATTTAACTGACCCTGACCGGCTAATTTGATCTATGTACTTGACTTCACAGTCATTACATGAAATTTTGTAGGTTCGGTTATTTTGCTTGGTTTAATCTATTAGATCTTTTAGCCAGTTGACAAAGCTTATCTCTGAGTGAGTTTATAGGTTTAAATACCACCCTAATACCCAGCTTTTTTGAGAATCCTACGTAAAGTTTCTGATGTGCCTTCCTTGTAGGTTAACACAATGGAGGCTGTGAGCTCCTTTTTACTTGTGTTGACGGTTTCCTGTGATAGGCAAACCGTCTTCTGCCCTTCTTTTTTTATTCTACAATCCACCATAGGTAATTCTTCTTCTTTATTTTCTGCCTCGTAAGTGAAATGGAATGCGCCTATTACTGTGTGAGGAAACTGTCGATACGTTCCAATTTCAACACAGTAAATATATCATCCATCCAACATTATTATTTTTTTCTATTAGTCCCTTGGGTTCCTAGTGGAACATAGGGCTTCAGCAGCACGCCTCCAGTGACCTCTGTTCTCTGAGATCTTTTGAACCTGATCCCACGACAGCCCAGAAGCTCTCATTTCCTCCTCGCACGACCTCCTCCATGTCACCCTCGGACGTCCAACTCGTCGCTTCCCATGGGGATTCCACTCGAGTAACTGGCCTGACGCGTGATGTCCTCAGTCGGCCTTCTCAGTGCATGGCCAATCCATCTCCACTTCTTCCTGCATATTTGTTGCGTGATAGGTTCTTGGTTGGTTCGTTCCCAGAGCTCCTTGTTGCTTATTCTTTCTGGCCATCTGATCTCCAGTAGCGAGCGTAAGCAGTTGTTGATGAATGTCTGTAGTTTTTTGGAAATGCCTTTCGTGACGCGCCAAGTATCTGAACCATACAGAAGCACTGACTTGACGTTGGTGATCCATTCAACATATGTGATAGGAATGATACAACACCTATACCAGAAATATAGGGAAGAATATGAGGTGGAATTACACTCCACTACATTGTCGAATTTTTACACTTATATTATTGACACTCTTGACTATAAAATCTTGTATAAAGCTTTGAAGAGATTCATCCTTTCTATAGAAATTCATTTTCTTATCTTTAAACTATATATTAAAATCTGGAATATTTCTGCCTTATTATTCTTGTTATGATCAACTTCAATACAGTATTCAGTTTACCTTCAATTGAATCTTTGCAATGACATTATTCTTCTTCTCGATGTCACTGGAGAGAAGCAATGGAAGTTAGTATACATGCCTGGATTAATATCATATGTATTGTTGAATCCCTTTATCTGACCTGATAATTAAAATTTATCAGGCGAATCAATGATAAATTAATTCTGTAACATTCTAATACTAAGTGTATTATGAAATCTCTCATTCAAACGTGTTATCTTCAAGATTTTATGCATACCAAGTCGACATATGCAGCAACCATTCAATGTCGGCAGTATTGTTGTCTTTGAGTTCAGCAACTATAAAGACTACTATTATTATTATCCATTTTTTGATCATTATGATTAAAAGGCACAGTGAATCATTCTGATTTGTGTTACCAATTGCTTCAAAGTGCTGACTTTACACAGTGAGACTGTTGATTTATTAGTATCATGATGTTATTGTAGTGTCCTGAGTACAAATGAAACAGTCATAGTGATTAAGTTGTACCTCTTAATTGCTAAGTTTTTTGAGATTAACCGTTAGCTCATCTTCATGCTAAACTCATTCTATGCATACAATTAAAGTGTCATAATTCTTCATGATTACAAAACATCGTATATTGAAATTATAACTTGTCATATTCTTAATAACTCTTCAAGATGCTAAATATTCGGAATCAACAAGTGGAAAACTGTGGTACAAACTTTCATGAATTTTGGATGTTTGTCATGTGTCTGTAATCATGATGAAAGTGATTTCAAAGACTTTACCACTATTCTATTCAGATTCGTTGTATCGCAGTTTCGTTTTACTCATCTTAGTGATCATATTACAAACTTAATCAATAGATTTCGTATACTTAGAGAGATAGACAAATCAACGCAGAACTTTACACAGAAGTAAATCGTTTCAGGTCACAACAGCAGCGTGCAAGGAACAAGTGGAAGAAAAAGCTGATACCAAAGCGAATAAAGGTGTATGATAGGAAAAGGAATTTGGAAATCAGGGTCATTGAAAATGTTGGAACTTTAGAAGACTTCAAAGGATGAATATATATTTTTGCATGGTTGTAACCGAATTTCAGTCTTGTCACAAAGAGTCTCGAGCCATTGATTCTTGCTATCTTGAGGTCCTCAACCAGGCAGTCTACACCTCCCTACATGGCGGAACCCGACAGTCACAGAGACTCTGTAGACTGGTTCCACATCTTAGTCTGGCTACCATCAACCTTCTCCCAACCCAATCCTACATAAATTAGAATTGCACTTCGAGGTAGCAGGTGGTGGTGTGACTTGTGCAGCACATTTTTAACAAGCCACTTCACTTGGTGATTGTTCATAACTTCATCGCTTGACTTGCCTTCCTTACTTGGTACTCTTCACCTATCCTGGACATTGCTCACACGGTAATTCCACCACACTTAACCAGTGTTGTGAAGATAATTTTGATCGAATTCGGTAATTTATTCTCAATTTTATTTAACAGCCATGTCTGATGACCTTATAACAGGACGGAGCGTACTTCAGCGCAATGTACTAGTCGTTTAGTAGATGATCGGATAAGTCGCTAGTAGGCGTCAGAGTTGGTGTGAGTTGACATGCCGAACGAGCCTTTTGTATCTCAGCTGAGATGTTGTTGGCACCTAACCCATTCGGTCTGATGCAATTTCTCAAGGAAGTAAAGTGGTTGACACACTCAACCACTTCACTCCATGTCCGAAAACTGCGAGCATTAATAGACCAGTCCTGAAGCATTATCTTACATGCGAAGCGCGTGCAAAGCCTAGACAGATTTCCTCTCAAGGTATTCAGAAGACCCTGTGTTTTGTCAGCGTCTTCACGTAGCAGGGAAATTTCATCTGTTTACTCCAAGCCAATCGTAAGTTCTTGCTACTTTACATCCTTTGAGTTTTGATACAGCCTTCTCAACTGTGAGGAGAGTTGCCGGGTATTACCTAGTGCTGATCCCTTTTCCATCTCTCTTACTATCACCACCCACAACTGCCCGGTATCACTCCTAAGACTCTTTAATTCACATCTGTGCCATTTTCGCTACTTGTTGTGGTCGAAGCCAACTCGAATGATTCTTCTTGCGTCAGTCGTTTCGAAGAAGATTGAGAAAATCCATATACGTTTGCTTACCTTTGTATGTACGTTACCAATTGTCGTTACTACCATTTTACAACAGACCGAATAATTTGTCGGGCTTCGTCGGTATGAGAATTGCTACCACGTCCAGACAAATGCTTTGTTATCTCATGTCTACGCACTTGACGTTCTCATCTTGCAGTCGGGTACATAGAAGTTTATCTGCTGTCTGGTTCCTATGTCCAGTCTAGTACAAACACATACGCGCTCTAACTAGGGCTTGATCGGATCTCAAACCAGTACTCCAGAAAGAGCGGCAATTCTCCACTGATCCTCTCCAACGATGGCTTTTAGCATTATCGTTCATCTGTATCCATCGTTGGTTTATTGTCTGTGGACATTATATGAGACAGTGTCTTTTCTTATGCCTGAAGTCAGTGTTGACCAGAAACACGTGATTGTCAGAACAAAATTGCAAGAGTCGACCACTGTTTTCGGTTCGTTGGCATGGGATTCCGTATATACTTCAAAAATACCTTTCAAATTGGCTCAGCATTCCTACTTTAGCTTTGAAGTTGCCTGCTATAATGAATCTGTCTGAACATTTTGGTTTCCACAGCAAAATTAACACCTCATATAATTCATCATTTGCATCCTCCGAACTGCAGTCGATGGATGCGTAGACAGAGATTACGATTAGGCTTTGGTTGGTCTCTTGATCCTTCCTATTTCTTACAGACTAATTCAGTCTGATAGCATGTAGACGATTTTTGACTGGTATCCAGTTGAGAATGTGATTTCTGCTCTGTAATTGAGTGCTGTGCCTATAGTGGAGAGCACACGGCAGCTGACCAATAAGTCTCCTAACACTCGTAAAGTGTATTTTATAAATTTGAAATCCCATTGTTTTGTCGAAAGACACTTGTCGTTCGACTTGGTATATTTTTTGG